TTCAGTCATAGAAAACCAAGATAGTGGCGGTTCAACTCTTCCATCAGACAGAAAAATATGGTGCTGTCAACACTCTACATAAGTTTCTGGTCTCTTTATTCATTTTATTGCGTCAAAGACATGCGTATACACGATTTTCCATAGTTTTACACGGCATATAGTTTCTTGTCTAAACTAACTAGGACCACTCGAGTACGGATGATTTATTGACTTGCCAGACGGAATTCGCTTGTTTTACAACAGCTTTGCACCATAAATTTACTTGCATCGCAAATCTTCAGATCCTGTCAAAGGGAGGATTTATAGCAAAGGAAAAAGTTATTTTCTACCAATTGAACCATCATTCAAAATACACTGAATTAGAACGGCCTCCTGAACGACAAGTTATCGCACTTAATCATGAGTAAACATGAACATGAAGGGGCATGTATAATAGGCCGGGTACACCAGTTTATTTATTTTTTAATTATTACTTTTTCTTTAATTCTCTTTCTTTAATTAATTTCAAACATTTTTCTCATAATTATTATAATTTTTTGATGTTCCGGAATATTCCGGAAAGTTCCATGTTCCGGCTTTTATCGACGGCGATAATTTTCATTACAACTCGCGTTTAAAAAGAACCTGGGCAAATCTCGAGATATTTTCGGCCTCGCTTCGTGAAATCCGAAAAGTCACGGACTAATCTTACCCACCTGTTGGCATTACGGTTACTGGCTATTAGCTAGTAACCACTAAAAGGAAAAAGAAACTCGACCGAAACTTTGACGGAGAAAAAAACCTTGACGGTAAACTCAACCTAGAGCAGAATAAGTCAGTGCCTCTAAACCGCTAAATAGCTCCTTTTATGTAAACAATTCAGGAAGGAAGATTATGTTTGCCCATCTCACAATAAATCCGTCACAAAGCTTCACGTAAAAATTAAAGAAGCCATGTACATCAATTGGGAGAAGCCTGCTTTTAATCAGCAAAATCATCATGTTAATTTCTCTCTTTCAATTTAATTTTTTTCTGGACCTTTTTTCTACATTCGCCTTTTGTTCTTTTTTTTTTTTCTTTTGTTCTACGTATTTTATTTACGTTACTCTAGGTAACAGCTATTGAACAAAACTTATGTATTAAGTTGTATATTCAAATTCACTCCAAGTGTAACTGACCATGACAGACGTTACTGTGAAAACATGTATTTCAAACTGAGAAGCGTTGCCTATTTTTTAAAATCCAAAATAATATTAATAGGTTAAAACAAAGCATTTCTAAATTTCAGTTTTTTCGGAAAATGTAAAATCTGAAATGACGGACTTGAAAATTTCATTTTCTAAGTTTCTCGTGCAACGTCTGATTTTATGACGTACTTACTGATATCCGGTGTTTACTTTCCAAAGTGAACAGTGTACAACAAACCTGATAGTAAAGTTCACTTCATGCAAGGAATGCAAGCTGGTCTTCAGACTTTTATATGGTGAGTACAACTTCTATTGAATTGTATGCCTTAAGTTTATATAATCTTTACTAGTTTAACCAAAAAGGGAAAATATTGTTTCGCAAATATTTAAGACGGATCGAGCAACAAGTGCTAAAAATCTACTCCGTTATAGCGCAGTAACTTTTGGAATACCATTTAAAACAACTCACTTTAGTTCATTTCTCGAAGTGAACCCGGGATTAAATTCTCAAGCATGTATTTTCGAGAAAGTTAATGTAAGAATGCTGAAAGCGTGTGTTATTGTAGGCATGATGATAGATGCGAATGCAGCCATAACACTACTGGAAAAAAGACACGTAAAGGGCCAACCCACACACGACCGCTCTCATGCGGCTTTGATAGCTCAGTTGGGAGAGCATTGCACCGGTATCGCAAAAGTCGTGGGCTCGAATCCCGTAAGGTCTAGGAAAAACCTCACGACAATAAAGGGATAATCAAGAAACACGTTCGCGGCAAATGGGAGACTTTTGCACTAAATGTTTAGTAGTTTATATGCTAAAGAGAAAAGATGAGTATTTGGGGCGACAAGGAGAATTTTTTGTCTATTTTGTCTATTATTTTTAATTTCAGTGTTATAGGGAAAGAAAACGAATTAAGACGAAATTTTTGCCATTTGTCGTTGGCTTCTTCAACCCTCTTTTTGCTGTCAACAAAGTTGAATTTACTTATGAAAAGATTCCTATAGCCGAAGTTGATTGGTACATTACATCGTTTTGTGGTTTGAAAGCGAACCGGAAATGTCAAGTACAACATGGCGAAAATGAAATTGTACACCCCAAATGAATTCGGTCCTTTTACAGCAAGCACTCTTTTGCCATTTATTTCTTTAGTTCATTAGACTTGCAGATCTAATGAACAGATTTAGAATGCTAATTTGCTCGAGAAAGGGAGGGAGGTGGGGTTCCTCCTTATAAGGGCTATGTAGGGTTGTGTGTACCCAAAGAGTATGGTTTTTTGATTCGTTTGGGTCAGAAATAGCATATCAATTTTGTCCATTTTGGTCTTAAATAGGGTATGGGTTTTGCTTCTCTAGTCTTGAATTGGTTATGTTTTTTAGAAGCTATCATTTTAAGGATTAAAGGATAAGGTCTTAAATAGAGTATCAAAATGTTTGGTCAGGTCATAAATAGTATAGGGAAAATCGCAGGTTTTAGTCTCAAATAGGGTAAGGGTTTCGGGAAGTGGGCCGCACATCCCTGACAGTTTTTCTGGGCGTATACCCCCAGGGCGGGGGGGAGGGGGGAATTTGCTTAACCTTGGCTATTTCGAGTTCCTGCGCTTCTTCGTAATGACACAAAACTCATTACGTAATGTGGCAAAATTCTACGCTCAGCTTCACTCGGTTTATTTTTCAGTTACAAGACTTACCGAGGAAGGCGTCATGAATCACAAAGAAATTATACAAGCCATCCATATAGGCTGCTTTGTTGGCCATGCTTTAAAAGCCATCGAGTTATGCAAGGAAAGCTTGGTTTTGCGCAGTAACAAAGCGCTGAGTAAAGAAAAGCAATTAGGTCAATTATTTTACAAAAACATCTATTACATCATGTTTGAGGCGTACCTGGCTTAGCATAAAACTGGCACAGATTCATATCATCAGAGTCAAAGTACATGTATACATGCTGAGGCAAAAGAACTTCTTGAGAGAGCAATCCCTGCCAATTAAGCGAGCAAGTGGTCACAGAAGAGAAGAAGCAGTCGCTTATGGAGGGTTAGGAAATGTGTTTCATTCTCTCGGTGAATATGTCAAGGCTAAAGAATATTACCAAAAAGCACTTGCGATCAGCATGGAAATTGGTGACAGAAAAAATGAAAATGCATGTTGTAGAAACCAAGGAGATGTGTTTCAATATCTCGGTGAATACGTCACGGCAAAAGAACATCAGTAGAGTAGGAGAAGGAAGATGTTGTGGAACGCTAGGAACTGTGTTTCATTCTCTCGGTGAATTTTTCAAAGCTAGAGAATATTCCGAGAAAGCACTTGCGATCACCATGGAAAATGAAGACAAAGTAGGAGAAGCAACATGTTATGGAAACCTAGGTAGTGTGTTTCAGTCTTACGGTGAATATGTCAAGGCTAGAAAATATTACGAGAAAGCGCTTGCGATCAGCATGGAAATTGGTCACAAAGAAGGGAAAGCAACAGAGTGTAGGAGCCTTGGAACTGTGTTTAGCTCTATCGGTGAATACGTCAAGGCTAAAGAATATTACGAGAAAGCACTTGCGATCAACATGGAAATTGGTGACAGAGCGGGAGAAGCATCATCTTATGGAAACCTAGGAACTTTGTCTCATTCACTCGGTGAATATTGCAAGGCTGAAGAATATCACGAGAAAGCTCTGATCAAACTGGAAATTGGTAATCGAAAAGGACAAGTAGTAACATATGTAAACCTGACAACTGTCTTTCAGGATCTTGGAGAATACATAGAAAGAGTAAATCATATTGTGATGAAGCACTTGCAATCAGCAAGAAAAGTCGTGATAAAGTATTACTAACAGAAGCAAACTGTTAGCAAAGGGAACAGACTTTTTTAAAATTCCTTGGTGATAAAGTGAAAGCCAAAGCCTTCTTTGAGAAAGTTCTTGCGATTGCAGTTGAAATTGGTGACAGAAAACTGGAAGCAGAAATTTATGTAGACCTTGGGCTAGTGTTTCAGTCTCTTGGCGATCATGAGGTGGCCGGAGATTATCTTGAGAAGGGACTTTCAACAAGTAAAGATATTGGAGCCGCTGAAATTGAGTTATCGTGCTATTGTGGTCTTTCACTGACGAAGTTATCACAAAAGAACTTTGAGAGAGCTTTTTCCCTTTTGTTTCGAGGTATATAAAAATCCGAAAAAATGCGAGGTTTTCTTCAAGACAGCGATCAAATGAAGATATTCTTTGCAGACATGCATCTTTTTCCCTACCAGCAGCTTAGTAGCTTGCATTGTTCTGTGAAGCTGGAAATCATAAAGCTGCTCTCGATGTCGCAGAGCTTGGACGTGCTAGAGCCCTAGCAGACTTGATGGCAACTCAGTACTCAGCTGAAAAACGCATATCAGCTGACCCGAAATTATGGGCTGGTGTTGAAAATGTTACGAAGAAAGAAAGTAACTGTACTTGCCTTTACATTTCTTATTCTGGTCAAAGAGTCTTTCTGTGGATTCTTAAGACAAGCGGTGTCATTCAGTTCCGAAAAATTGAAGTGGATAAAAAGACTCTTCACACCAGATTAACAGAGGTTGCTAGAGATTTAATATTTGGATGAATTTTTTGCTATCATGGCTGGAAGCTTTCGAAGATGAGCAATTTTACCCGAGGAGGTGTGCGAAGATCGATCTATAACTGACAATAACACATTGAAATAAATCCTGAATCTAGTCGAGAAGGGAGCCCCGCATCTTTGCGACGAGGTAAGCCTGGGAATATGAATGATCCCGCACCGAGTCTAACTTTGTTCTACGAACTACTCGTCCATCCTGTATCCGACTTACTTGATGAGCCTGAAATCATTATTGTTCCTGATCGCAGCCTGTACCGTGTTCCATTTCCTGCTTTACTCAGTGAAAAAGGGAAATATTTACCAGAGAATTTTAGAATCCGCGTGGTTCCTTCTTTGTCGACTCTCAAGCTCATCCAGGACAGTCCTGCAGACTATCACAGTCAGACTGATGTTCTGGTAGTGGGAGATCCTGATGTCGGAACTAAGGTGATTTACAGGGGAAGTATCAAGAAAGACTTCTACCCATTGCCTGGCGCTAGAAAGGAAGCAGAGATGATTGGACGACGGCTGGGCGTTGAGCCTTTGTTAGGACAGCACGCAACGAAGCCAGCGGTAATTGAGAGGATAAAGTCTGCTAGTCTGATACATATTGCTGCACATGGCAATGCTGAAAGAGGAGAAATTGCTCTTGCCCCTCCAGCCTCCACTACCGAGATTCCACAAGAAGACGACTACCTTTTGAAAATGTCCGACATTGCAAAAGTTCAAGTTCGAGCTAGACTGGTGGTACTAAGCTGTTGTCACAGTGGCCGTGGACAAATTAGAGCCGAGGGAGTTGTTGGAATTGCTCGCGCGTTCCTAGGATCCGGTGCACGCTCAGTGTTGGTGGCACTGTGGGCTCTAGACGACAGAGCAACAAAGAAATTGATGAGTAGTTTCTACGAGCACCTTGTTCGTGAAGAAAGTGCTAGTGTATCTCTCCACGCGGCCATGAAGTGGATGAGAGATCACGGCTTTACCAAGGTTTCCAGCTGGGCACCGTTTATGCTGATTGGAGATGACGTGACATTCCCGTTTGGAAAATAAAGGTGTGTTTCTCATAGCGTAGAAAACATTTCATAATTTTGGTAAGTTGGTTAACTGTATGAGTTAACTCAAAAGTGAAACATCCGTACTTTTTTTTTTTTTAACAGGGACAAAATCTAACTGTGTTGTACAGTAGGGAACTGCAGAAGTGTATAACAGATTTTTTTCAGTTATTGGAAAAACCGTTTTTAACAAGACTTTTTTGTGAGGCGAGCAGATCCGTTATACTTGTGATCTCCCTACCTAAAATTTGATACTTATGCTTAAAAGTAAAGAGATCTCGTGCCATTGCCTGGTGCAAGAGAGGAAGAGATGATAGGACGAGTACGTCTGCAATCAGTTCAAGAAATAAACTGTATTCATCATCTACTGTACGAATATATTTAATTTCGACATGCAATGATCACACAAATGAAAGAGCTCACAGTTGACAAAGCACTCAGCCAACGTTGTAGCAGTCGTAGGTACAAATCCCTTTCAAGCTTGCCTTCTGTTTCAGTTTTTTTCAGACATTAATGTAATGTAATGGTTACTGGAAAGTTTAAGAAAGTTCGCGCTCAAAATGTTCCCACGTACGGAATTTTTTCAACACTTGCCATGCAGTAAGGCAAACATAATCCATTGTCAAAAAGTGAAAAAATGCGAGGTCACCGTGCTCCTTTTCGAAATAAGGCTGACGACACGAGAACAGAAAAGGCGCAATAAACGTAACTTCTCATGTACAGATTTTTTACCTGTTTTTAGTTAAAATGTAGAAAATCATTTGAGAGCAAATATCAGGCGAAGTTGGCGCACTTAGCGCTAAACCATATATACTTACTTTTATTAAAAGCAGAATCATTGGATAATGCAATTTGACAGTTTTCATTGGCTTAGCCATCGTGGGTTATTTACAGGTTAACACACTCAGCGAGTGAATTATCGGGATTTTACCTGTACGAATTCACTAACAATGAACGAGAAATTTCAATACCGCACTCGGCAAAACCTCGTGCGGTATTGAAAATTTCGAGTTCTTTGTTACTGAACGAGTACAGGTAAGTCCCGACAATTCACGAGCAATGAGTGCGTTAACATTTTTATTATTCAAATTGAATACACTGCACAAAGAAACCACTATATCTGAGTCAGCCGAAGCCGTGGTGTAACGACAGTGGTGTGTTAAATTTACACCACGGCTATTACACCACGATAATGACGTCAAGGTGGTTGTCTCGTCACAACCCAGTATCACGTGGTACAAATCAGCCAATCAGAAAATCGGAATTCGTACAGTGCATGAAAGTTGAATAATAAGAGCCATTATACCATGCTCCACAAATATGGTTAGCGTACGCGTGATTCTTTGGGGGCGTTATTATTTTTAGAAGAGTTCAGTTTTCTATATTTTGGGAACATTTTTAATAAAACAATTATTGTTGGATATATGACATGATAACAGGCAATTCGGCGCTACGCGCCTCGTTCGTTATCTATCATCTCATGTCTAACGCGCACACGTGGAATAATAGGCGGGAAAACGGAATTTTATCACAAAAAGAAAAAGAAAAAGAGAGGTTAACTGTTGACTGACCCTTAACGGCACTATGAAAAACGGTCATCTTCGGGTCAGAATCGTTTATAAAACAGAAGACTGCAAAAAGGCAAGAAAATACAACACCAAACACTGACATGTTTGTAATCCAAGTCCAAAAGAGTTATTGTAAAAATGTAATAACGCCGTAAAGCAAACAAGAACAAACATGGTGTTCTGTAAACAGCGGACAATCTTGTCACTGATAGATATTTACGGCACGGAAGTGCCTTAAACAAACCGTTTCTGTCGCGACGGAAATATTAACATTGAAAGTTTGACTTTATTTAACAAAATTAACTTTACTCCAGATATTGACGTTTAAAATGGAAAATGAAATAGTTTTATTTCAAAGGGTTCCGAAGCAAAATAAACATGCCCGTTTTTTTTATTTATTTTTTTTTACTTTTATAAATTTTTTAATCCACTTTCATCCTCGCCCTCGCTTTCCATATTCACTTCTTANCACCACGGCTATTACACCACGATAACGACGTCAAGGTGGTTGTCTCGTCACAACCCAGTATCACGTGGTACAAATCAGCCAATCAGAAAATCGGAATTCGTA